TCAGGAGTTCTTAATGCCACCTTGTACTTTATGGAAATGGTTACTTTTGTCTAAACATCCTACCGCTGAAGACAGATGAGTAGCTTTTTCTTCTAATGGTGCTAACAGAGCGAAACAAACATTTTGGCATCTCACCTGTTGCCACAGGCAGTGTCAATTAACAGTAAGACTGAAGTTTCGCAAGTGCCAGGGCTTGGGAGTGGTCATTCATTCCGTGAGGGAAGAAGACTGTGTGTAACGCTGTCTTAAGAGCACGCTGCACCTGAAGGAGGATTAGATTTTATTGTTTGCACTGCTCTCTTGAAAGCATATCGTTGGAGCCTCCTACAAAAGAGAGACTAGGATCTAAGGGCTGGTGCCGGAAACCAAAAGCTAACATGAAAAGAATCCAAGTCTCTGTCCAGTCCGTGAGAGTCCGCAGTGGTTCATGGAAGAAATAAAGGAATTAAGGCAATGTCAGGGCTAAATAGAAGAGCATATTTCTCTTCTTTGAGCTAGAAATGTGTCCATAACGCCTCCTCCCTATAGTGGACTCTCAGACTGAGAATCAGTTGTTGGACCACATAAGTCTCTCAGTGCACACGATAATACAGTAATGACCTTGACTTTCTCCTTCCCCAGTCTTAATCAATTCTGCCTTAAAGAAGGAAGAATTTTTTTAAGTTAAAAATATATATACTCAATCACATTGAATTTTAAACGTTTTCTCTTTCAAGCTAAAACCAGGAGAGTCCTTTAAATAATCGGGGCCACTGTGTGGGGTGGTGGGTGCGTGGTGTGCAAACAGGTAAACCAACCTGACTGACCTGCTTTCTTGTTTTTAAGTATCCAGTAATATGATCATTTTGCAATAAATAACTGAGCCTACAGCTTTGGGAAATTCTGGGTCTCTGCTTCTTTAACTGTGGCTACTTTGTTCAGAATGTGTAGGCAGGGCCATTCCAGCCAAAGCAACCTGATCAAATTTCCTTCCTTCCCATCCTACTGGTATTCTTTGTGAAAAGCCCAAGCGGTTGTTTGAAACTAGTTTGGCCTCTGGTTAAAGTTTAAACTAGTAGTGAGATCCAACCAGAGTGGAGTGTTTCTGACACTTTCTGCTGCTCCTGGCCTAGGGTACTAAGAGTATTAGACCCCAGAAGCAGCCAATTTTGTAGTGCCTTTTAATACACAAAATTGTATTAACATCAGCCTGGATACAGATGGATGCATTGCAATAAACTGTAACCACTTGAGAAAAGCCTTTATTGACTCTCAAGTAAATAATGCACATTTTAAAGGATCTAAATATGCATTTACATAATGTGCTATAATTTTTTATTGTGTCAACTACTCACACACACACATCCATAAGAGATGTTTTTCTGCGTCAAAAATTTGGGCTCATACCATTTTTTCTGCATTGCGTTAGCACCATGCCAGATTCACAATGGTATTTTCTCTTTTCTAGGGCCTGAGCTGACCATCTCAAAATACATGTAATGAATTTTGCTGATTGAATGATTTGTTGACTGATTTAACCCCAGTGACACTTTCTAAAATAATTTGCAACTACTTGGACAAAAACTTAGGCACACTAAAAACATCTAATCCAAGATAAAAGGGAGAAAACAAGAAATAGGGAAGGAGGAAAACCAAATTTAGACATGGCTGAAATCTTAAGTCTGAGCTTTAGAGCAATGGAAGAACCCAATGCAGTCTCATTGTTCAGGAAAAGAGTGCTGCTAGCAGGTTATCCAGAGAAATAGTGTGTATTTAATAATATTTAATAGTACTTTGTGATGTTTGTAACACAACTGTTTTCTGTTTGAAGAAATTAAAGCTCAGGATCTTGAATGATTTATATCCAGTTCCACGGTGGACTAATGGCTGAACCAGAATGTCCAAGGCATGAGAAAGTAGGGGTTGTGAAGGATGACCCTGCACAGTGCAGACTCAGCAGTTGTCTAATGTGAATCTACAGGCTAAATGATTTCCTGGTATTAATTAAGAATTAACTGATCCTTATAAATCAACCATTGTGGAATTAACTCCATATAGTACCATGTGTTCTTAGGTCAATGTTAAAATAAACTCTGTGACACAGGAAAAAGGTGAATAAATTGTTTTTAGTAAAATGTAATAAAGAAACTAAGGTCTACATTTAAGTTGTTAATGATTTTCTTTTACATATTTAACAACAACAAGCAACGACAAGATTGTTGTTGGGCAAGGATGCTTATTAACAATTAAGGGAGGGATTCCATGGTCCTGTTGAATTATTTCCTCTGTCAGGTTTCTCTAACTTTCATCTGTCTAGTCTTTGCTCAAGTGAATTTTTTCCCTTGGGCAGCATTCTCTGCTGGCCACCACAATTTCATAATCTCACAATCATTCATCACTTTCCATTGAGCACCTGAAGCATTGCCACTTTATCATTAAGGTCTGCTTCCTGGGGGCTCTTGACAATGGAGTTGCCACCTTTGTGTTTGACATGCTGTAAAAGTTGAGTGTATCATTTTGTTGTGCTCAGTACATTCCCAGCCTCATTTGGGAGATGCCACATTCCATCTCTAACTAGAAACTATTCGGTTAAATGCAGGGCACTGGGTCAAAGCTTCTTGCTACCAGCAAAGATGACCGTACCATATTAGATGAAAAAATTCCTTGGGTTCTTTAAAGCACAATTTGCAAAGTAAGAGATGACCAGAGCCATTTAATTTTTTAGCTGCAGATTTTTTTTTTTTTTTTTTTTTTTTTTTTCCCTTGTGGTACGCGGGCCTCTCACTGTTGTGGCCTCTCCCGTTGCGGAGCACAGGCTCCGGACGCGCAGGCTCAGCGGCCATGGCTCACGGGCCCAGCCGCTCCGCGGCATGTGGGATCCTCCCGGACCGGGGCACAAACCCGTGTCCCCTGCATCGGCAGGCGGACTCCCAACCACTGCGCCACCAGGGAAGCCCTTAGCTGCAGATTTTAACTCAGACAGTAATGGATTCCAAGATTTACCATTCAGTGTATGAAGCCCTAAGTTTTACCAGTTTTTCTACAAGCTCTCTGGCTGTTTGCCAGGTTAAAAATATTTTTTTAAGTTTGTATTTATTTGTATGGTTACTTTATTAATTTCTGTATCACTCGTGTATTCAATCATTCATTGTACCATCAACAAATACTTACTGAGTGCCAGACACTTCGAGGGATATGACAGTGAATCATTAAATGGATGGAAAAGCTATTCACTAATATGGAGAAGAGAGAAGAGCCAGTATGAGGGGTGGAAGGTGACAAGAATTCTAGTTCGAATGGGTTATGTTCAAGATGCCCTCAATTATATGATTGAAGACAAAACTTTGTATTGTCTCAGTGTTGTATCCCAAGCCCATAGTAGGAGCCTTGGAATATTTTTGGATAGATTAAAGGTTGCACGAGGGCTTCCCTCGTGGTGCAGTGATTGGGAGTCCGCCTGCCGATGAGGGGGACACGGGTTCGTGCCCTGGTCCGGGGGGATCCCACATGCCGCGGAGCGGCTGGGCCTGTGAGCCATGGCCTCTGAGCCTGAGCGTCCGGAGCCTGTGCTCCGCAACGCGAGAGGCCACAACAGTGAGAGGCCCGCATACAAAAAAAAAAACAAAGTTGCATGAATGAAAGGATCCCATCAGGTCATTTGCAACGTATGGACTGGACTCTTGTTTCCACTCCAAACCCCTATTTCTACTCTTTAAAAACTACAGATGCCATTCTGAACCTCAGAGTCCTAGCCACTCTAATTATTAGTCAGAAAATGCCCCAGTCCTACAGATACAGTAGGGAACAAAAATCCCGTGTCCGGGGATCAATAGAGATGCATCCTTTCTTGACAGATGGGATGGTGGTAGAAAGTGTGGCCAGTCTCACTTAGTTGTTCTTCGTTTTATGAGTCACCCTCAATATTAGGAAAGTCTTACTTTCCAAATATTTGGGTATTCCTTTGTTGTCTCTTTGCAGGGCCTTCTTGAGTTTAAAGATTTAAACTGCAAACAGTAAAGGAAAAATAAATACTCTCATCTGCTTTTACTTGGCAGTTGTTTTTCTGGCCCTCATTGGGGAGTGAGAGCCGCTGTCTCGGCGTTACTTGGTTTGAGTGTCTTCAGCCCTTCCCATGTGCTGTTCTTACCCTTCAGCAGGCTTCACGAATCACCCTTCCACTTCAAGGGCAGAAATCTTCCCAGGAAAAATTATTAAGCACCTCACATACGTTTTTTAAATCTAATGTAATCTTCTTCCTGTGTCAGTGAAACTCAGCAGGGTTCAAATATAAGGGAGTGATGGTTGTCTGAGCCTTTCATCAGTTTGTATGAGCAGAGGGCCAACAATTTAGCAGGGGTCAGTGCCTACCTACTCAGCCTGTGGGTTCCCCTGCTATAACTAACATCTATGCGTTTCTGAGTTTGGCTTTGAAATGGCCAAAAAAAAAAAGGCAACATGAACCTTCTATGTAAAGTGAGGCACCCAAATTGCATGGGTTCATTAAGTGATCATTTACTACAGACTTCAAAAAATTTCATCCTGAATTAGTCCCTAGAAATTTCCTTGAAAGGAGTATAAGAGCTTTAACAATGAATTATTGTCTATGGAAATCTCAGCATGAAAGGGGATCCATATGTGCAAACTAGAATTTGTCATATGTAATGTCAGTTAAATCAGGTCTAATCTACCAAATACATTTTTTATTGCCTGCTTCATTAAAAAGGCTCTTAAGGTAATGAATAATCTTCAGCTTCACCAAGGATTATTAATGCCTTTATAACTCATGTCCACTGAAAATAGAAAGACAGCTTGAAACTCTACCCTAATCTAGCCTCCATGTTTGTCTTAGAGCTTTAAGGAAGAAAATCTATCAGACCTCTCCAGTGTTAAATGCTGTCACACGAGCAGTTACTAGGAATTGGGTCAGGAGAAGAAATTTTAAAAGGAAGTTGAATCCAGTTCAAAAGCTGTGGCAAAACAAGTCTTTCTCTTATTAACTCTGATGTTTTCTTTTCCTGCAGCAAGTCCACATGCGACACCATCAACTCTTCATTTTCCAACATCACCCATCATCCAGCAGCCTGGGCCTTACTTCTCCCACCCAGCCATCCGCTATCACCCTCAGGAGACGCTGAAAGAGTTTGTCCAACTTGTCTGCCCTGATGCTGGTCAGCAGGCTGGACAGGTGGGGTTCCTCAATGTAAGGAAACTTCTTTTTTTTTTTTTTTCAATTTCTTTAGAAATATTAACCGAATGTAAAAATAACAAGGGAAGACCTTATGACCATGTGACGTTGTGCTCTGATGTCGTGTTGACTGACTGCAGGCAAATGTCATATTTATTCTAGATTGTGGGAAAGTTAACTTACTCTAAGAGGGATTGGCCAGGGTTTAAAAACAGTGTTTGTGTTAACTTCGCAACTGTCAAGTTTATGGATATAAATCATCTCAAGGGTGAACTGTGTAACCTTCTAAGGTCTGTGGGCAGATAATTCCACCTCATGCATACTAACCCAAGGGCTCACGCAGTTAACAAAATAGAAAGACCAAATAGTTTTAAATAATGATTTTGGGTGGCAGGGAGAGGTAGGGGGAGGAGGGGGCACAGATGTTTCAGATCAACTGAGTTGATATTTTTAAAAAATAGTCATCTAACACTTTACATCAAGTTGACCAGTACTTGAACTCAAGATTCTAGAAGTGGTTTATTATAGTTTGTTATTTCTGCAAGTAGTTATCTTTCCCACTTATCTTTGTATAAAGCTAAATAGTATTGAGTAGTTTCGAATGGAGGTTTTTTCATTTTTTCTCAAATAAACCAAATCACAATTTGAGACAATATTCCTAATGTAAAAGTGATTTTTAAAATCACAAATTTTATTTCAAATGTAGAACCAAATGTTTGCAATGGGTATCCCAAGGCCAATAATAATAACAATGAATTGGAAATAATGACCAGCATAAAGCCAAATGTGATTTTCCTTTTCTCCTAATAACTGTAATGAAGCCACAGATGGGCCATAATTATTATTGCCTAATTTAGAATATTATATCACACCACCCTATCACCGATTTTCTTCCCTCGAAGAAATACCTGATTCTGCATATCTGAGGTAGAACAGGCAGCTTTGACTAATGTCTGGTGATGTGTTAGCAGATACATTTCTGTCTAGACAACAAATCAATATGGACCCTTTTTTTCTTTTTGCTTGTGTATTCATTTGCTTGGCTTATTCTAAAGCATTCACTTATGGACTTTTAGCCCACTCAGAAATGACACACAGGCAAGTTTGTTGGCAAGAAAGCACAGCATTCTGACTGTCAGATGAGATTGTCTTTGAGGAACAATACTAAATATATAAGTGAATGTTGATGAGGCAGTGATAACTTCCTCTGCAGAATTACTAAGCTTAAACTTAAAAGCCTGGGACAGCAACTGAATTTTGATTCAGGACTAGAGCCTAAATAGGAGCTGTTATTGTTGGTTGAATAGTGTCACTGAAGACCAGAGGCAGAAAGGCCACTTGGGAAGCCACGGAAAACTGAAGTGATGACCAGCATCAAGCATCTGACTTTTAAAATGTCTACCTTTTTTTTTAATAGTCCTGACATCATCCCATATAACTATCAAATGACCAGTTTTGCATTTTGATCAAAATTTTATAGGGTTTAAGGCAGGTCTTTCATGGGACTGTTTGGAAAAACTCAAAAATCAATGGATTTTATTGCTTTCTTCAGAAGGAAACTTTTCTTTTGTTAAAGAGCTGTTACTTGGTTGTTCTAACATCAGGCAGCCAGATAAATACGACTCTTATGGCATATGCTTATATAATTTAAATCAAAATTAGAAGTGATATTTTTCCTTAGCAGAATTTTGACAGCTGAATTCTAAAGTTTCTGTGCCTGATGTTATACAATATGTGAAAGAAATTTTTTATGTTCACTTAACATATTTATTAAATGTTATATAATATCAACTTTGAAGCGTGAAAATAAAATATTTTTTTAATCTCAAATGCATATTTAGGAAACTTTGTTATATCTGTATAAACAGACGTGATGGAATAATTCCACAATCTATAAAACACTTATATATTAAATCAATATTTAATAATCATGAGAATGATGACAAAAGTCACAGTTAATACAGAATGAAAACATACCAAGCAAAAGTTGGCAGGTCATTTTCTAGAATCAGATGCAAAGGTCAAAGTAGTTCAAGAGGTAAGTTTAGGATGCATTGAGCATGTGTGTCTAAGACTGTACTTTTGTGGAATGCCTTAAGAACAACCCACAGCTCTTCATCCATATGCTCTTATGGAAGAATTCAAGTAGCTAGAATACTTAGTAATTTACATGAAAGGTGCCTAAGGAATCTTTTGTTTTCCGAAGCGGCTAATGGTTCTCTCTGTGTCTTCTTTCTCCTGTGCGTGTTTTGTTTGGTTCCCACCCTGGCAGCCCAACGGGAGTAGCCAAGGCAAAGTGCACAACCCATTCCTCCCCACCCCCATGTTGCCACCGCCGCCGCCACCACCGATGGCCAGGCCTGTGCCTCTGCCGGTGCCAGACACAAAGCCTCCGACCACGTCAGCGGAAGGAGGTGCAGCGTCCCCCACCTCACCAAGTAAGTATGGCTGAGATGCGGCGCCGGTCGCCGGTCAGGCTCTGCACACGTGAATGCACACCTACGCCTGGCCCCTCACTGCATAGGCTTCAGTGAAAGGCACGATCCCCAGTGATGGCTGTAGTATGAGTTTGCAGAACCAATACCAGATCAGAGCAAATAGCACTCTAGGGTGCTACCAACCACATCAGGTGTGGAAATGACTGGGTGTTTGGGTGGATGAAATGGTGCAACTACATGCCAAGGGCTGAAGTCAAGATATGAAGTATTAAATTTTGCCTGTTATTTGAGTGGCTTTGAATGCTATCCTTATGATCATCAAACAGCATCTACTTTTATGGATTCTTATTAGCAAAAAGTTCCTCATGCTTCTTAGAGCCCTGCCTTCCAGTAACTTACAATCCAAGAGAAATGCATTTGATGAGGTACCAAGGTTAATGCAACTCATCCATCAAATAGAAAAAAAGTTTAGATCAAAGTAACCAATTCAAAGGTGTGTACGTTGAACATTCGTGAAGAATAAGAGCCTGGCAGAAGGTCAGAGCCAGTAGCCATGGCAGTTGCATGGCTAGGCTTGGCAGAGGGAGGAGATGGAAGATGAAGCTGGAAGGAAAGAGAAAAGAAATCTTGGCTTGTCTCTGAACAGTATGGGAACATGTGATCAGACAATATAGGATTTCAAAACCTTTTGGTATAATGGGAATCATTACTTGATGAGTTAGAGGGAGAACAGCTCTCCTGATATTTTAAAGATGACAGGGAATAGAAGTAGCTTAAACACATAAATTTGGCTTCTCTTAGTACCTGAAACAATGACTAAAAGAGTGACAGCTGGAGGCAGAGTTCCCAGGTGATGGATGGACTACCTGACCTTGACGGGGGTGTGATGACCACCTTCTCTAAAGCTTTACAGAGAGATCAAAGCACGGGAAAGAATGGGAACTGTGACAGTGCCCCTAAGGAGAGGAGGTCTTCAAGGAGGTGAGGCTGAATGCAAGGAATCTACTGAGGAAAAGATGACCATAGACCACGAAAGAAGTGTTAAGATCAAGAACTTGAGCAGCAGTTATGGAAGTTGAATGGAAGAGAGCACAAGAAGAAACGTCTTATCGACATAAGCTTTGGGATTGGACAACCACTTGGATGAATATAGTGAAGGATGATTCGGACTACTCAGCACTGGGGACATAATGGTATTGAGTACAGGAGGGAAGGAGCCAAAGAGAAAAAATGAGCCTCTTTTGACATTGTGTTCATTGGATTTAATTTTGGTGACACTGAATCCAAAATGTCTAGAGTCTCTCATGGGCATGGATGAGCTTTGGCCTATCTAGTACGTATTCACTTTGATAACACATGTAGCAGTGAGTGGCCCTGTGCATGGATTCTGGTTCTGTAGCAAAAAGATTGAGGGTCCAGGGCCAATTTTGGGGGGGGAGCTTACCTCTATTGGTAAGAGGTGGTTCAACACTTTTCAACAAAGGAGAAAACTCTTGAGTGTCCAGTGACATAGGAAGCAAACTAGGCTTGCTCTAAGCATCTTGGAAGCTCAGCTTAGAAAAGAAGCTTCTGAGAAGCAGAAGCTCATAGGCCTGTCCTGCTTATTGTGTATTCATGTAACATCTTCAAAGGAGTCAGAGAAATAATCATCTCCAAACTCTATTTAGATCTAGTCACTGGGGATGTTGACTTACACATTGGCAGCCATGTGCTAAAACTGTGCTCTGTACATGCCTCTGGGTACCACTTTTCTGTTCATCTTCTCTCTGTATGTTCAGGACATTGGCAGAACCCTCAAAAAGCTTTGTTTAATGTTCTTTTTTTTCTGTGTAGACATATCCTCATCTCCACCATCAATGTCTCATGCATCTGTAGTGCATTTTCCAGTAATGGAGATGGGGCTTTTCTGAGGCACTGTGGACGAGTGGAAATACCCTGGGCAGCTAGCTATTGAAGTCTAAAGGATGGGGGCTCAAACCCTCACCTTTCACATTGCTAGCTCTGTTTCTCTTCCAACCCCAGTTTCCTCATCTGTAGAACGTGGGTGATAATACCTAGCTGGCAGGGTTATGTGAAATCAGCCACGATAAGCACTACCACCAAATAAATTGGAGCATTTTATTATCTGCCAAAACTCTTACCTAGTGGAAGCCTCTAGGCTTGGCTAATGAAAAAATATTCCTGTAGGACATGTAGAAGCTACTCAATCCCTCAATCAGGTTGATACCTTTGGGTCCCTTCCCTGGACTCCACTCCATGGATTGGATCTAATGCCTTGTATAAAAAGATACCCATGGTCCTCTTGTGCCCAGCCTCAAGCATTCTTTCAGCATGATGGGAAGAAGTGTGGAGGGGGTCTGGGCAGATCCGGTTATGGTTGCATGTTCATTAGCACAGTGTTTAGAGATTTTTGGAAAGAGAATATCAGGAAAGGGGACCCAAAGTTTGATATTTACATAATAATTTGAAACTTACTTTTTGAATCCTAGGAATGCAGATAAAACAAAGTGTTCTACTGATGGCATAGAAAGGTGTTTATCATCGTAAATCTTAGCCTTTTTGGTCTTTTCTGGGGTTTGCTGAATTCACAGTCATATGTTGTTTCACAGCAATTATCACCTGACCATCTTCTACTTGATTATTAAGACAGTGATATTCTGGGAAACCTGTAATTTATAGCATAAGAGAAGCCTCTCAAGTTAAAAATCTCAAAGCCTACCAGTCCACATTGGGAAGAGATTTAAGAACCCCTGCAAAACAAATCCTCTTCCATGCCCCAATTTCTGAACTAATTGATAAATAAAATACAAGAAAAAAAATCAGATGGAAGACTAGACTATAACCTCTACTATTAGAAAATTTATTTTTTAGCTACAGGTGAATGTGCTTCCTAATGCTGAAACCCAAACAAACCCACCCAGTCACTGGCAGTGCAGGACCACTGCAGGCCTTCTCATGGGAGGGGGCTGCCCTCCTGTGTAGAGCTGATGGAGGTCCAGGTGGCTGTGTGCTTCCTGCCAGCACCTGTCTCCCTAAGGGA